GCCTAGAAGACAATAGCGGAGAGAACAGAAAGGCAAGTGATAATATAAGGTAGAGGTCCTGTGTTACAAGTGCCAGATAAAGAAACTACTAGAATCACCCAAGATGGACAGAGAGAAAAGGAGGGACCAATAGAAGCAGGCACAAATGCAGACATAAATAAAGAAAAGCTAGAATGGAGCCTGCTTAATCAAGAGACACAGACTTGTGCCAGAAACAGGGAGTTAGATGGGGTGAGACAAGTGGCCAAGAGGGGAATTTTGCAAAGCTGTGCAGCGGGGTCCAAGCCGCCCAGCGTTGATCACCCTCACGATAGACTTGGGGGTTAGGTAGGACTCCAGGGGCCAGGACAGCCTGTCCAGGATGGGGATAACGCCATGATTTCCAAAGTCAGGGCCTGGGGAAGAGTCAGCAAACAGTGCTTTTGAGGACATGCCCTGCAGTGGCAGCCACGGCCCTGCAACACCCCCAAATGCAGACGTGCCTCACAGAAAGTTGAAAGAAATCTCATGACGTGGGAAGACAAAGAAAGCCAAAGAACTGGCCTTCTCTCACTTAGAACCACAGAAATCAATTTGTTAGCAGACACAAAGCCCTAAAAGATTAAAGCAGGATGCAGAACCCCAACAAAACGGGACAGCGGGCAGGTGCATTCTGAGGTGCAGAGAAGGAAGGTGTTGGTATTCCAGAGCTGGTCGTGAAGAGCGGTGCCCTTGCCTGCTCTTCATGCAAGTACTAAGGTGAAGAAAGGGAAGGGCCACAGGCATCCATGTGCAATACAGAATTCCAGCTCCACCATCTCCCATGCACTCTTCCCAGACCCTAGTGACTACCCAGCCAGGCCGCCCAGGCCCCAGAGAGAGGAAACCCCAAAAAGGGCCCAGGCCTACCTGGATGTCATCTGCTGTATCAAGAAAGTGGCTCGGGAGGAGGTTTGGAAGCATCCCCACGTTGTTGACTGACAATGGCAAAGCAAAGATGTCAGAAGAGCCGGGAGCAAACATTTATTAAAAGCCTTAAAATTGTTTATATTCAATCCCAGCAGTTTTTTCCCTTGGCAATTTTCCTAAGGAAACATATGCAGAAAAAAATTTATGGACGAGATTGTTCTTTGCAACATGATTCGATAACAGTGAGGAAATTGAGGGGGAAAACTATTGTCCGCTAATAGCAGCCACATGGTGCAACACAAGGGGCTCCATCAACGCCACAGCTGCCTAGCAGTTTGAAGACACGGGGAATATTTGTGGTGTAGGGTTTTTTAAAAATGTTCTGAAATACTGTGTAAATTTCATCCTGGTTTTGAAAACATGTGTGTATGTGTCTGTGTCTGGAAGGATATGCACCAAAACAGGATCTCAGGCTGTTGGGATTTTAAGAAATTTCTAAGTATTCAATGTGCTCATGTATTCTTTCTGGTTTTCCTGCAATAATAGGGTTTACATTTTTGTTAGTAAAAAATATTATTTTAAAAATTCAGCAGGAAGTTTTGAAATCAAATCTTCCTTCCAAGTACAGTACAGACACCGTGTTCTGTATGAGGTCATAAAATAACTTGTCTGTAAGTCCCCACACACGGACTTACCTAAGAAAAAAAATTACCTTGTTTTCTGAATAAGAGAGTCAATTCTCAAAGAACTATGCTGACTTGCTATTTCATAAATCAATCACAGCAATGTTTGTTTACTAAACTAATTCTTAGGATGGTATTTCTGAGACTCTCCTAATTAATGTCAGTATTAGTGGAAAAAATCCATTTTGTATTGTAAGATATGATCAGGAAGGTTGAAACATCTTCATTTCATGCATTCCAGAGCACTTTGCAATTTACTTACTTAAAATTCCAATTTCTAAGCCTTTAAGTTTTTCTCCAATATACTCATAGATGTTGTCTTTGGTAAAATCTGCTTGTATAATCTTCACACTACTCCCCGTAGCGCACTCTGCAGGAGAGACAACAGTTATTCTTGAGTGACGGGAATCCTAATTCCTCCCTAGCTCAGGGACTTTTCCAATGCTCCTATAATGTGCTCAAAGATTTGTGAGCGGTGGTTTCTGGTATTTCTGAGTTACTACGGTGACCAGCACCGAAGTGGTTCTCGAAGCAGGGTCCGCAGACCACAGCATCAGCCTCCCTGGGAACTTGCTAGAAACACAGATCCTCAGGCTCCACCCCGACCTACTGAGCCAGAAACCCCGAGACTAGGCCCAGCCATCTGTGTTGGCATGCACTCCCAGTGACTCTGCCGCACACCCAAGTGGGCGACTCCTGGTGTGGAGACTGTAAGAACATAGGGTGATGCTGCCTTTGCTCCACACCAGTCCCCTTGGCTCAGATGTAGTGACTCCTGGTGTTTGCCCAACACTTTGGCATTCACAGAGCACTTACATGCACCATGTCTTAGTTTAATCCTATCTACAACCCCATAAAGCGGACATCACACTCACTTTCAGGAGGAGAAAGCTAAGGCTCAGAGAAGCGAGCTAACCCAATGACATCCGCACTCCATTCCCACCAAGCCCATGCCACTCCGCTGTCCCATGTGGACCTGGCCCTTGGATGGGAACTTTCAGCTGATGCAAGAGCAACACATCGACTCCACCAGCAGCTGCCTGCTCACCTTTGGGGTTAGACCCAGTATTTCTGGGACAAGTGATCTGAGGCTTAGTTTGAAGGGTGGGAGGTGCTTTCAGGCTGAAAGCACTTCTTGCTTTTCAAGAGGACAATAAAAAGCACATTTCAGCATCATGAAGGAAACACTGAAGAATGTCTTAGTCCTGATCAGAGTTACTTATGATACCCAGACATGAAACAAAGGGAGAATTCATTAGATGAAGGGCACTGAGCCTTCACGGTGCAATGCCCCCACACCTCCCACATCTGTCTCCTATCCCAAGTCTCCCCCAGGGACACAAGGCCGTCCTCTGACAGTCTCTCCCAGTCTTCACAAGTTTTCATAACTGAAGACTCATGTCTTTGAGTGAAGGAGATTAGGAATCACTAAATTAATAATTAATGATTAAAATAAACTACACCAAAGCGGATACAACTATTAACTATGAATACATCACACTGAATTATAATAATAAAACACTGTAATATAAATAGAGCTGTGCAGTGTATAAACTTCACAACTGTACATTGCAGCCCTGGATCAAATCTTTTTTAAAAAATCTCTGAACCACCAGTAAGCATTGTCCCTCACCTTCCTGCAAGGAACAAAGCATAGACATGGGGAAATGAATTCCCAAACATAGATGCTGCTTTTCAAGGGTGTAGCAGAAGCAATAAGGCAGCTGGGACCTCTAGATGAACAGAAGTAATTCTAGAGATGAAGACACTTACAGCATGAGTCTGTTCAGACCTCACTCAGCCAAGGAATCCCTGATGAACTAAAGCTCTTCATACCCTGCACTTCCCTTTGTCCAGTGAGCTTCCTGCGCATCGGCCAGTCCCCAGGCTGCAGGAGCAGCCTCAGGCATGCTGACAGATCTTCCTCCAACATCTCCCTATGTCTTGGGGTCACTCACCAATCTCTGCAGCGGTGGCCTGTAGCTTTTTAAGTGTCCGGCTGATAAGCACGACATTGAGTCCTTGTCTTGCTAGCTGAGCGTGGGAAGTGGGAAAACCAGAAAAGAGAAAGATGATGAGCAGATAGGGAGGCTTGTTTCTTTCTTTCTTTCTTTCTTTCTTTCTTTCTTTCTTTCTTTCTTTCTTTCTTCTTTCTTTCTTCCTTTCTTCCTTCCTTCCTTCCTTCCTTCCTTCCTTCCTTCCTTCCTTCCTTTCTTTCTTTCTTTCTTTTTCTTTCTTTCTTAAGAATTTATCTATTTATTCATGTGAGGCACAGAAGGAGAGGCAGAGACACAGACAGAGGGAGAAGCAGGCTCCATGCAGAATCCCGATGTGGGACTTGATCCCAGGACCCCAGGATCATGCCCTGGGCCAAAGGCGCTCCACCACTGAGCCGCCCAGGCACCCCCAAAGGCTTGTTTTAAAGCTGAGTTGGAGTATCACCCACGCGGTCTCAGCATCCAGTGCCTGCTTCTCCTGGGTTTAAATGTGGCAAAGGCTTCTGGATTATGAGCACAGCTACGGGCCAAGCTACATGTGACAAGACAATAGTAGTTTACTTTTGTGTTCATTATGTGCCAAGAACTTGGCTGAGTGTTTTTTGTATACAGGCCGGCAATCTGAATCCCCTCTCATCAGAAACGTCTGGGTCAACTGTAAGTTGGAATTCATCATTTGGAAGATTTTATACTATAATCACAAGCCAAGGGCAGCACCCCCCTGTGAAAAAGTGGTATTTCTGCAGGAACATTTCAGCTGCTTGCTATCCACAAGGGCCTTCATCTCGTGGTCACTCTGCCACGTCCTGATCGGAAGCCAGAGCCTTCTCCTCTCTCCTTGTTCTCTGGCCCCCAGCAGGACAACAAACAGAATAAGGACCCAAGGGTAAGCAGCAGCTTCCCCAAGATCAGGGAGGAGCTTCTCTTCAGGGTGAATGGTGCCCCGACCAGGGGGCCAAGCGGCAGCGCAAAGAGGCCCAGGGCCCAGGACGGGACACCTCACACCTGGAACTGCCACGGTGAGAAAAGCTAGAGCTTTCCCTGAAGACAACATGAACAACCAGCATTCATTTAAATAGAGACTGATGACATTTGAGTTAGTGGCAAAGGGGCCCTTTACTGAAATCTTTCTCTGTGGTTTTAATGAAGTGATTCATACTTTTATTTTTTTAATTGTGATAAAATGCACATAGTATAAAAAGGAGAAGAAACGTGTGGGAAATATCAGAAAGGGAGACAGAACATAAAGACTCCTAACTCTGGGAAACGAACTAGGGGTGGTGGAAGGGGAGGAGGGCAGGGGGTGGGGGTGAATGGGTGACGGGCACTGAGGGGGGCACTTGACGGGATGAGCACTGGGTGTTATTCTGTATGTTGGTAAATTGAACACCAATAAAAAATAAATCTATTATAAAAAAATTGACATCTTAACAAATATATGGAATGTTTCATGAATGTGCATGTCATCCTTGTGCAGGGCTGTGCTCATCTTCTCTGCAACATTCCAGATTCCGTATATGTGCTGCCAAAGCAAGCGCTGTACCGTTATTTTAATATGGAATTATATATTACAGAAAACATGTAAGAAGCTGATTTAAACACTATAATATGTGATCTCCAATAGCCAACAACTCAATCTTCAAGCCAGTGGTTTCCAAATCACCCAGGGAGATGTCAAAGAAAAACCAATTCCCATCTAAACCATCCAAATAAAAAAGTCTAGGGTTGAAGCATCAGCATTTACAACTTTTCTGTTTTAATGTATTAAATTATACTATGAAATACATGAGGAGAAGCCCATTGTAGACAATGTCCCCAAAGCCCCCCAGTCCCACTTCCCTACCCACCCCTAGCCTCTGGCCGCCTTTAGTCTGCTCTTGACCCTCTTGCTTTTTTCTCTGCACCTACATGCATATATAAGTACATACAGAAATATTCATTTTGTGGGGTTTCTTTCCATTCACACACTATAAATGGCATTGTAAATATTGTATTTTTACCTTCATGGTGTGTCTTATCTCCATGAATCCCACATCTGTCTCCACATCAGTCCAGTCTGAGCCACTTGATCCTTTTCTATTGCTTCGTAGTTTTCCATAGTTCACTTTTGGGTGAGCACTTAAGTCACTTTTAAGTTTACCAATTACCAATATTGCTATAATAAACCCCTTTCTCTATAACTCTTTGTGTATACAAGTGAATTGATTCCTCGAGTACACAGGCAAAGAAGTGGAATTGTTGTATCAAAGGGTGCATGCTTTGTATATCTTAACAGTTTGCCAAAATGCTGTCCCTTAAAACGATCCCACCAAATATACAACCATAGCTATTTCTTCATATTCTGCCAGTACTTTTTATTAGCAACCATTTCAACATTTCCCAATCTAATGGTCAAGAAATTATATCCCTATATTTTTTTAATTTGTGTTTTTCCAGTTATCAGTGGGGCTGGCCAGTTTTTTGTATGTTTCTATGAATTACCAGTATATACACTTTGCCCATTCTTTTACTGGGTTGTCATTTTCTTATAAATTTGTAGGTGTCTTGTGTTTTTTAACATATTCTGAATATTTATTATTTGCCTACTAAATATTTAACAAGTATTTTCTCCTTTATTTATGGCACCTTGACCATACATTATATGTTAATTTTCATGTTATCAACTTTCTGAATATTTGTTATGGCTTCCTAAAAATTTCCTTTATGAACTTCCTTACTCCAAGATTATAAATATATTTTCCTATAACCTTTTACAGTGTTTTTATCTTTCTTGTTTATTTTTGAGAATAATGTGAGTGTGAAACTACTTGGCATTATTTTTCTCAAGATGAGTGGCAATTTTCTTGACAAAATTTTTCTATTTTTCCATTCCTTCTTTTTTTTTTAAAGCTTTGTTTGTTTGTTTGTTTGTTTATTCATTTATGAGAGACACAGAGAGAGAGGCAGAGACACAGGCAGAGGGAGAAGCAGGCTTCCTGAGGGGAGTCCGATGTGGGACTGGATCCCAGGACCCCCGGATCACAACCTAAGCCAAAAGGTAGATGCTTAACCACTTAGCCACCAGTGCCCCTGGATACCATTCTCTAAGATCACTTTTCATTTCATTGCATAGTAGTGAACATAATGGTATTTTTTTTGCTATTTGTAACTTATCACGATTTTCTTTGTTGCCCAATAAGTGGACTTTTATGGATATTCCTTGTGTGTCCTTACAGAATACATATTTGCTCTTTGTTGGCTAGGTTTTATGTATTTTTGTTTCTTAAATTAGAGTTTTACCAAATGACTTACCAAGTTCTAGTTAAACCAGTATTGAGAGGGTATTCAAATTCCTTATAACCTTAATTATTTTTATTTATATAATAAGATGTTAAATTATAGGTTTCAACAGAAGTGCATAGACCTAATAGAAATCAGACCACAAAGTGCTTTTAGGGAGAGAACCAAGAAAAAAAGTTTCAAAATAAATCTAAGAACCAATAATGTGATTCTCGAGCCCATCCCCAGGGCACCTCTCACTCATATAAAAAAAAAAAAATGACAAGATAAAGAGTGTAGCAATTCAGAGGTTTCATCAAGAGGATTTCTTAGGTCTGTCTGCTGCCAAGCTGTGACTCCTATCCCCAAGGGCAGGGTGAGGGAGGAGCACGATGCACCTCACGCCTTAGGTCAAGGGAGAGGGTTGCCATCTTATCCCATTTCATGTTTTATGTGCCTCGTGCTTTCCTGTTTATCACTCCCCACCTCAGTTTTGCCTGAATCAGCTAACCAGCAATGCTGTGGTCACAAGTTAACCTTGAAATCTCAGCAGTTTACCATAACAAAGGTTTATTTCTTACTCATTATGCTCGAACTATAGACCCATCTGACCAGTGCTCCCCAAAATCTAAAGAGCAAGAATCGTCGCTTTTCGGTGCTGTGTCTGACACTGGAGCTTTCCACTGCTATGGGCTAGGCCACCATTCAGACTGGTTTGAGTTTTTTTCTGGACCCACTATAGGAAAGAAGCTGCGTGAGGTGAGATTCTATGCCAAATGTCCACCCCAAGGCAAACAACCCTCAGCAGAAGCAGGGCTGGGGGAGGAATTCAGGACCCAGGAGGTCAGGGTGCAAGACGAGAGCCCACTCACTAGAGCCATGTGACAGAAGCTCGCTGTGGTGGAGAACCCAGGAAAGTACCCCTCCGGGAGTGAACATCAAACAGTTATCACGCCCAGATGGCCTAGCTCCTTCTCATGGTAGGAGGCGTAGCCTGCCTTCTCTCTGCCCACCGTCTCCTAACTCCTGCTCCCCGACCTGGCAGGCTCGGACACCTCAGCTGGCAACCAAGAAAGAGAAACAGACCAAGGCACTATGTCACGTCCCATGAGCGTGGTCTCAGCTGCAGGAAGGGAGAAGATTCAACTTTAGTTCACGTTCAGAATTTTGATTATTGCAGGTAATTGGACACTGGGACTGTGGAATTGCAATCTGCCCGAATCTGGAAGTAACCAGAGGACTTTGTTTCACCTAAGAGGGATCAGTGAAGTACCAGGAGCAAAGGTAGAGAAAGAACAGGTTCAAAGAGACAAAGAGAAACTGTGATTATGATTATGCCCTGGGAGTCCAGCGAAGCCCACTTATCTAAAAGACTGTATACTTCTGTTTCTGAAAGAGTCATGGAAATCCAATGGTGGTTACAAATTCATCAAATGTTTCTATTTCAATCAGTTTCTACTCTCAGTATTTCAAAGTTATATTGTCAGAAATAGAACAGGCTCAACATGAATCTTATGAAGCTTATCAGTATGAACATTTCTCTTTTATTATCTTGAATTTTATTTTCTTTAATACTGATATTGCTTCCACTCCATTCTTTTCTTTTTGCATTTTCCTAGGATATGTTTTTCCATCCCTTCAACCTTCACCCTTCGACCGTCCTGTTGGAATCCATTGAATTTCATTTTTAGCTCTTTCTGAATATCTGATATTTATCAGGAAATATAACCAAGTCGCATTTATTGAGATTGCAAATTTACCACACTGACTCTAGCTATCTTGTTTTAGTTTTCCTATTCACTGTGTTTTCTTTGTTATTGTTCTCACTTTGTAGTAAGAAAGACAGGACAGGCAAAGCTGGAGTGACAAAATAGCCCCAAATCAGCGGCATGATAAAGAGAGGTTTGCTTTTCCTAACACTATGTCTTCTGCAGAGAACCCAACAGTTCAGACCACACTCCTCCATGCAATGACTCAGGGATCTAAGTTTTTCCCCAGGGCTCAAACTGAGATGAGACAAGCAAAGGACCCAGGTGCAAAATTTGAGAAGGGTCTCACTCTCAGGTTCACAGTCACCACACATGCCTCACCCCAGTCTCAGCCCTACTTTTTCTATCCAGATTCCACTATCTCAACAGAAGGCCTCTGCAGCTTCCCCTAATATTGGGCAATTGAGAACTGAACTTGATTATACTATAGCAAAGACAAATTCTATCTTACTGAAAAATAAGTTACAAAAACAAAACCAGCCATTTTCCTCAAACTAAATACAGAAAGACCAGTCCTGTATCTGGACTACTAAAATATTTCCATAAATGAAAATATGTTCACAAAACAGTAAACATTTCATAAATATACATACAAACAAAAGGGCACAAAACATATTAGCAAGGCTGCATGTGGGATGAAGAGAAACGAGGGATGGGAATGAAAGAAAAGAAATTGAGAGAGGGACCTTGTATGGATCACTGATAACAATTTAATCTTCTGTGTCTCTGATTGGCAAATGAGAGTCTATTTCTGATTTTTGTTTGTTCATTTGTTTTGTTATTAGAGTCCACGTATAAGTAAAATCATATGGTATCTGTTTTTCTGTCTGGTTTATTTCACTTAGCATAAATCCCTCTAGGTCCATCCATATTGTTGAGAACGGTAAGATTTCTTTGTTTTTTATGACTAACCTTCCATTGTGTATACATATCCTATCTTCTTTATCCATTCATCCTTCAATGGACATTACAATGTTTCCATAACTTGCCTACTGTAAATAATGCTGCAATAAATATAGGAGATGGGCCAAATAGGTGAAAGAGATTAAGAGGTACAAACTTCCAGTTATAAAATAAATAAGCCACAAGGATCGGAAGTACAGCATATAGTCAATAATTTGTAATAACTTATGGTCGCAGAGAGCAACTACACTCATTGTGGTGAGCACTGAGTAACGTATAGAGTTGTATAATCATTGTGTCGTACACCTGAAACTAACATAATGTTGTATGTCAACTACATGTCAATTAAAATATATGTATATTAAATTCTACTGTAAAAAAAAAAAGAAGAGAAGAAAAAAGAATAAAAAGAAATTGTGGTGGGGGATAGGGAAGGAAGGAAAACAGAAAACACTAGAGCACACCTGCCTGGTAGACCTATATTTTCATGGGCATAAGTGTAGCTGTGTCATCTTCCTGCCATCTATTACTTATTAATTACACCAATTCTAAGTTTTACAATAGCCATACTACCAAAGTTAATTTTCGTGTTTATAAAAGCTTATTTT